GTGCATTACCAAGGTGTGAAATCGAAACCTAATGACTCAAAATGACGCTACAATACCAGACGAATATGTCAATATGTGTCCGCGGCGGGCCCTCTGATGCTTCATTTGTCAGGCTGGGCGGGACCCCGCTATCGCACCTCATAATCGAGTTTACATCGGATGCAATGCAATCCATTTCGGGTGGGCCATTGAAGCGCACAATACAGCTTGACCGCCATTCAGGCTGTCAATGCCCTCGATGTCATTTTATTTTTTTGGAAGGATTTGACGTATGTAACCGAGGACACATTTCGGAGCATCCCTTGCCCAATAACTATTAGCCGTGGCCCAGACATGACGTATCGTCTTGTAGGAAGTGTGTGAATATGCCACATGGTGGAGAGTCTGAAGCCTGTTAGAAATCTTCCTGCAGGACGCCTTTGAAAGAAAGTTGCATCGGTCATGCGCACGCGACAGAGGGGATGTGTATAAACAGTCTCAAATTGCGTTTTCATTACGGGGAGAGGATCCCCGCTAAGCCGATGCTGCAAGAGACCGGCAGAGCGCTGGGTAAAAAGCGGAAAATCCGGGCACGGCCATTCAGAAGGCTGTGGCCCCGGGGCTCGCCTTCTGGATGCACACCCTACTTATCTCCGTCCCTCTCACACCTCCGAACACTCCAGTCGTCCTCTCACAACACTGGCAGAAAAAAGCCGCCAAAGTGGGAAGATGACATGTGTGTGTCTCTTTCTGGAGACACAAAACGCTGCTAAAGAATCACATATAACAACTCGCCGCGGTAAGGTAGACCTTAATTGTCAACGTTACGATAAACAGAGTTCTTCAAAGGAGAACGATAACTTGGACGAACTGATGGCGACAGAGAGCGTGTTTCTCGTTTCTTGCCAAGTAGAAAGACGAATATTTCATTTCGGTGACGAGTAAAACCGTTTACAAATCATCAGCAACCCGTGTCGAGGGGTCCCCCCCTCGTCAACTCGTTGTACACGAGGAAAAATACTCGCAAGATACTCGCGGAAACTCGCGACAACTCGCGAAAAATTCGCGGAAACTCGCGAAAAATTCGACAAATACTCGCCTAATACTCGCGGATACTCGCCATTACTCGCATAAACTCGCGGATACTCGCTAATACTCTCGAATACTCGCGGATACCAACGCAACTCGTTGTACACCCACTTGGAGAGTGGAGGACCCCTCGACCCGTGTACAGTACCGAGTGCCATTAATAAAATCCCGTGCAGCGCACCGCGGCCGAATAACCGCGGAATGCATGACGGCCCGTGGCTCAGAGGCGGCGCGCCCATTCAGACACAACTCGGCCCGCGACCCGCCGAGTTACGTGGCTTTGCGCCTGCCAGGCGTCGTCGGCGATCAAACGAGGGAGCAAAGAGCCGAAACCGCAGTGTCAGGCCGGCACTCGGACGGCCGGCACTCACCGGCCCGACCGCTGTGAAAACAAGCCCGGGATCATATAAGTGATCCGCGCGGTAAAAATCACGGCACGTTTTTATTTTCACTTTTGAGCCGTTATGACAAGGTTTGCCACGTTGCACAGTTAAAGTCTTACGAAGCAAAATGCCAAATGCTTCGTACCTACGAAGGATTTTCTCCCTACGAAGCGTCCAAATCCTTCGTATTACAAAGGATTTGGCATTTTTCTTCGTAAGACTTTAACAGTGTGAAGATAGTTGGTGGATCATTTCTGAAGAGCGTTCACGTCAGACGAGTCTCTCAAAAAAAGACGATGTTCATAACTTCAAAAAGGGATATCACGCACCTTGCAGCCCCTACGGACGAAATTTGGATACATAATCGCGACAGAGCGCATCTCCCGTCGGAAATCATGGCGACCCAGCTGCGGGTTGCAAAATACCCCCCCCCCCCCCCCCCCCTTCCTGGCAACGCCGGTGGGGCGGTGACGGATTCCGTGCGCGCCGTCAATGGACAGCAGCGGGGCGGCGCAGGCGGGCTCCGCAAGGCTGCAAGGATCGGGTGACTTGGTGCAGTGGGATGGCCGCTGATGCCCGGCGGTGCCCGGCCGCTGCCTGCTCCGCCCCGGCCCGGCCCCACACGTTGCACATCCTTATCAGCCGCACTATCGCATGACAGCGCGGCCGGCCCCGCCGCTGCGCGTCTCGCGCGCCCCACCGGGCCTCTGGCCCGGCCCACCCGCGCGCCAAAAGGGATCAGCGAGATGCGCGGGGACCGCAACGCGCCTCCTTCGGGCGGCGGATAGGTTTGGGGAAACTGTCAACAACAGACGCGCCACCACGGCTGCCGCAAAAGCAGGCGGAGCACCTGGATTTACACACGACAAACAGACGGGGCTCAAAAGTGGAGGTTCGGAAGGTATATCCGCGCGCGCCTTTAGTTCGCTGCCGCCGGAGCCGAAAAATAAGGAGAGGTCCCCTTCTGACTGCTCTCTTGACCTCGTCCCTTTTGGCAACAAATGAAGCGCATGATAGGGGTTGTGCAAACAGGTCCAAGAGAGCCGTGAGGGGACATTCGACAAGCCTACTTACTCGCACCTTCAGTGTTTAGTTTCCCCGCCCGTGTTTGCGAAAACACCAACCATGCGTGCGTGTGTGAGTGTGTGTTTCGGCGGCCAGAAGAAGAGAAACCACGTCCGCAACAGACCTGTATGAGTGTGTGCGAGAGAGCAAGCGAGTATGCGAGCGGGTGCGAGAGAAAGAGAGGTGGGGCAGCACCGTGGGCCGAGCGGCGTCGCTACCCCACGTGTCAGGTCCGCTACGCCTGCGTTACGCTAGCTGCACAAAGCGGGCCGGTAGCTCGCCGGTGGTCCGAATCCGCTAAAACACAGCTACTGACAGGCCGAGGGCCGATCTCCCGGTGTTCCCTTTCCTCGCCGCCCTAATCCTTATCATTTGCATAAGGCGCACGTCCCATGCACGTCCCGCCTGCTGCTGCGAAGGTAGCAGCAAATTATATTGCAAAATGCCAAATTATTTTATACATTCTATTTCTTTTTCATTGTTACTGTGAACAAGTTTCTTCTACAACTGTCAATAATTTGATGTGAAATTTAGTAAGTTCGAGGGGGAATCACTTGCGAAATAGTTCATACACTTTCCCCCGTAATACTCCGAAATAAAGGCGAAATAAAGGCGAAATAAAGGCCAAATAAAGGCGAGATAGACCCGAAATAAACGCGATATAGCCGGTAATATAGTCGCGAAATACCCCTGAAATACTCCGAAATACCGCGAAATACCCTGAAATAATCCAAAATAGGAGAGAAATAAACGAAATGACAAGAGAAATACCACGAAATAGCCCGTACGCTACGAACCCAGTGATTTCCTCTCGAGTAAGTTTCAAAGGATTTGGCAACATAAACGTCTATACACGCGATAGGCCAACGAATCCTTTCCCCCCGTTACGTCTGACCGTGTAATAATGGTCCTATAGTGTCTCTGTGAGTGTCAAGATGAAGGTCGTCTCGCAGCCGCCCGCAGCCGCCTCAATAAGACTGCAGTCACTGGGAGTCAAATTGGCGAATGTAAAATCCAAACGACACGGTACGGTGAACGGTACGCTTACGATTCCTCCTGACCGCAGGAATCCCAACTGCCGCGTCTTTATCACGCCGGGATAAACACGAGCGAATTTATAATTTTTGTGCTCGGCAAAACCTCTAGTGAGTTAATTAAAATTTAAGACTTGACACCTTACGACAAACGAATAAGTGATCTGAATCATACACATTCTACAGTCCTGTGAAGTACTTACCGATTAGTTTAATTTCAACCAAAGACGACCAAAACCGTTCGTTATTTGCCTCCTGCTGCTACATCACGCATGAGTAAGGAAGGCGTACACGTGTGTGTCCGCGTGTGTGCCCTATGCATTGTCTCGGACTTTCTCTTGCACAAGTATAGCCCTCGCTGTAATAGCGTGGCGGGGCGTGGCGTGGCGTGGCGGGGCGGGGCGGCGGAGCCACACGGTTTACTAATGAGGCGGCGGCACTGTGACAGTGGCGTCGTCGACCTACACTGCACTAGACCCAAATTTTACTTTTTGATCAGTTGTATGTCACAAAACTGTAAACCCGTTTTAATATTTGTCCCTTTACCTTTTACAAAACCTCCAGCAGAAGTGTAAAGAGGGCAGTGCCACATCAGATCTTGCACATGAGACACACCAACGACGCCACGGTGAAGCGAATGGCATGCATCAGCGAACAAAATGACTCGTGATTTGGGTAAAATAAAATAAAGAGAGCAGCGAGTGGGAGAGAGGACCGGCACGCGACCTCTGAGGATGCGTGGAGGAATGCAGCGAGTGGCACGCGCCGCGCCCGACTCCATCATTTCGGGAGAGAATTGTCGAATTATTGAATGGTCTGGACCAAAAAAATTGAATGGGAGGCTGCACGGCACGCATTGTCTTCCAGACCGACACTGGCCTCTACACCTCTCGCCCCTTCGCCCTTCTCACTAGCCAATGAGCCCAGCCGGGCATCCCCGATCGACTTTTTTCATGATTCATCTGCAGCCGAAAGTTGGAGTGGTTTCGTCAGTTGCAAGAGAGCGGTGTGCGCTTGTGTGTAAGTTGCGCCGTGGGTGGGTTGGGCCCCAGCAGAGCGCGCAGCCCGCATGGCTCGCCAACAACGAATTTGCACAAACATTCGCACTTGCTGTTTCGCAACCACAACAGATAGTGCACTGCACGAGACGGTCCTTGGAACAGGTGTGAGTGAGTGTGAGTGAGTGAGTGAGAGAGAGATTGTGTGTGTGTGTCTGTGTGTGTGTGTGCGCGCGCATTGCACCACGACAGGGCGTGGCAAGACGCGGTTTGTCTCGCGACGCGCCGGTGCTGCGACACGGGGGTCAGGGAGGAGCGGCGGAGGAGCGCCCGCTGAATGCCAAATGAAATGCAAATTCTTCACGAGAGCACCGGCGTCTGGAGCTGTGCGATGCGGAGGAAGCAGCGGCAAGGGTGACACGGTCAGAGGAAAAATTAGTAAAGTCTTCAAATTTTTCGGAATCGTAGAAAAATACTTTCTTTTCTATTTTCAAAGAGAAACTTTACAATTGTACACTCACTTTTTGCATCATCTCAAAGAGTGTAGAAGCACCATAAAAATCTTATCACAATTTTTTTACACAACAGATTTGTACAAGTATCATCATTTAACCGAGAGATAAGCTCCCCTTGATTGCTATGTACAATATTTATCAGAAATCAAAGTTAACATCCATCGTATCACATATTATATACAGGCACAAAATTATGTACATAATCATTCTACATCGAGGTCATATTTCATTTGAGATCACGTTTTTACAGGAATGCCGCAAAGCCGGCGATATCGTAGAAATTCGGCGGGACGCGTAAGATTAAACAACCACAAATAACATTTTTAAAGTGTGGAATTCAGGACTTCAGTCGCGGGGTTTCCGTATTCATTTGTGCGCACGTCGCAGGTACAAAATTCACACAAGCCAAGAGGGCCATAATAAAACAACGTGCCACATCACAGGCAGGCTTACTTACACTAACCTCATCGTCGCAAGGAACAACGCGAATGGTTCAAACATCCTCAGCTGTCGCGCACAAAGTCGGGCGTGCGATGATGGCGTTACGCCCTCCGCATAGCGTCACTCGGCTAGGATCCCCTCCCTGGCCGCGGACCTGGCTGTCGAGGTGTCGGTGGAGGCGAGGGGGTTTATCTCGTCCGGGTCCACAATATCGGCGTCCATGTCGTCGGTGTCGTCCAGGTCGTCCATGTCGTCGTCCAGCATGTCGAGCCCAGCCGCCCCCAGCGCCGCGGCGGCCGCCCCCAGGTTGTGCGTGAGCGAATGCCGGCGCAGGTCGCAGTTCCGGCGGAACACCTTGCCGCAGGACGCGCAGTGGTAGGGCTTGATGTCCGTGTGCGTCAGCAGGTGGGTCTTGAGGTTGGAGCGCTGGTTGAAGGAGCGGCTGCACACGGGGCACTTATGCGGCGACTCCTCCAGGTGCAGGATCTTGTGCACGGCCAGGGTGCGCGACTGGCAGAACCCCTTGCCGCAAGAGCCGCACTTGAACGGCTTCTCCTTGGAGTGGATGTACCTGCAACACAGCGGAGGACATTTTTAGCTCGCGTTGCCTTGCAAAAAATTGGCGAGGTGGGGGTGAAGGGCGGCCAAAGGGGCGAGCAACTCTTCCGCCGGTCGAACAATGTGCAGCGGGCATCGAGTCCTCTCGCTCTGTCACACTCAGTCAGGGGCGGCGCGGCGGCAAGGACAGGGAGAGGTGCCGAGCGACAGGCACGCCTGCCTGACGACACGATCCGTTTGGAGCGAGGCCGAGGGTGTTTCTAATTAAACGAATTTTCAATATTTTCAAAGTTTCCCCTGGTAATAAACTCCCTCACACCAGGACCAAGGAAGACCACCGCGGACGCTGTTGGGTCGCGCAGGACCCGATTCGACCCTCCCCCATAGGAACCTATAGTATAGATTTTGCAATTCCCTCAGAACACGAATTTTCAAAAGTTTTGAATGAGATATTATTGACAGTGGCCAAGTGTGTTTATGCAGTCCTACAGAAAATTTTCTATATTTTTTCAACGATGGAAAATTTGCCGAAAACACGAAAATTATATTGTAACAAGAAATTACTGGTGATTTTGTTCTGCCTGTTGAATAACAAAGATTTCTTGAACTTTTACAATGTTCATTTCTGAATTCACTTTGATATTTTCTGCATTTGCACATACATTCCGTAATTTTACAAACTTTGTGTATACACTTTTCTCGTATTGTTACACCAATCTACAAATGAACTGTTTATCGATTTTACAGATAGAAACAAATAATTGCTCTTTTAAAGTCAACTTTTTATTACTGTGGCACACTAGAAAACTACAGACCCTAATGGCGTTACCTGATAGTATTCTCTTATTTGAGAGGTGAAAACTTAAATATACGTTGAACTACACCTGAAGTGTTTTAACAAATGAGATGAAAAGAATACAACAAAATCATGACGACAAAGGGATACAACTACGGCAAAAAATGACAAGAAAATGAGGACACGGCGGTATGAAAAAATAAAAGAGGAGCGGAAGGCGAAAACGATTTGCAGACGATTATCGCCGTCTCGAGGTGACAACGCTCGTGCTTTCAATTCGCTTTGACGAAAAGTGTGAGTCCAACCTGCAGGTGACAGGGCTCGCGGAGAAGGGGAGTAAGAGGTGGGTACATGCAAGACAATATTGGGGCGATGATAATGGTAATGCCAGTTATGTAATAATTATTGAAGGACACACACAGAAGACGGGGCAGTGTCGCAATGCGGAGGCAGTCAGTATCTCTCTGACTGAACTTGACTGACTCTGCAATGACCGCGCATCCCGCGTCCCCCAAACAGCTGCAGCAGTCCTCACAGTTTGCCTCTCGCTCACACACAAGCACAAACACGCTCGCGCACCCACTCACACAGAGTGATGATGTCCTGCCATTCTCCCGTTTCGATAAGAAGTGGAAAGACCAGTACGGGACGACGCGCAGACACGGCGGCCTGAGTCACCCACAGAGGTATAACAACACACACGCGCTCACAGAGAGAGAGAGAGAGAGAGAGAGAGAGAGAGAGAGGACCACACTGCCCGATGAGCCGCACCTGGGCCACATTCTGCTGCAGTCGCGCACTAATCCATTCACCGGTGCGCTCAGCGGCGCTGCTCTCGGGAGAGGAGGTTCGCTGACCGCATGCGCAATAAGTCAGCAAGCTCAAAACAGCGAATAACGAACGAACGCGCCGTGGGCCGCGACCCCCCCTTAACATCCGCTCGCGGTAATAATTCCTCCCGCACGCACATTACTCCTCTTCCGCGAGCCAAGTTCATTATCAGTCTCGCAACACGGAACGCAAACACAAGGTGTGTGTGGCGCGAGGAGCCAAGCGAGCCGCGCACCCCCAAGGGTTGCAGCGGGAGCGCGTGGGGACTGGGGACCTGCCCGCGCCCTAAGGGTGCCCCCCCCCCCCCAACCAGGGCTGTGTGCACCGCACGTGCCACATCGGTGCCCCCCCCCTCCCCCTCCTTTCCAAACCTCTTCTCCCACCTTTTCCGGTCGCATGCCGAGTGTGTGTTCGTGCATCCGGACCGATAGCGCCATGGGCCCGGAGTGAAGAGCCGTGTAAGGCCGTGTCGGAGCCGCTTCTGCGCGGTGCGGGCGTGTGGTCCAAAGAATGGGGCTTAGAGGGGATACTTTCATCACGGCCACTGCAGCATGGCCATAGGATGCTGAAGATGCTCTATGTGATGTTCAGACCACAATCATTATTTTTGAAACCCCAAATGAATAGGGGGGGGGGGGGGGGGGGGGGGGGGGGGGGGGGTAAGGAGATCCACTTCAACCTTGATCGGAACCTAAAGAAGAAAAGCATGAACTGCCCGATCTGTTTCCTCCTGAATGCTGATTGGTCGACGATGACGCCGTTGTGGCGATTAGCCAATGAGCGCGCAGAAGGAAATAGATCGATCTTTGTTGCAGTTGACTTGTAACGAAATACTCTATTCTAAAAATTCTGCAGGGACCTTAAGAGTACGCCTCCCTATCCACGTTAATTATAGACGTACCCCTAAGAGCAACCCCCCGCCTTCTTCATCGCACGGTAAAAATACGTCGGGGGGGGGGAAGGGGGGGGGCAAAGAGGGTATAAGACAGTGGCGCTTCCTAATAAATGGACTCTCTCAGAGGGAAGGGGGAGAGAAAGAGGGGGGGAACAGAGAGAGGCGAGATACAGAGGAAACGGACAGCGCGATCAGAAAGCAGGAAAGTGAAGAGAAGGAAGCGAACGAAGAGCCAGAGAAGAGGGATGGGAGGAGCGAGACAGCGAGAGGCTCGCGCGCAGGGCGTGTGTGGAGGTATCGATAACCAGGCGGTAAAGCACCGAGACGGACAGGTACCGACCGGCTGTGCGGCATGGGTTGGGCCCGTCCGCCCCGCCCTGCCCCACACCGCGCTGAATAAACTGCGGCCCAGCAATTTGTTCGCGCCTCCACCCGAGTGCAGACAGCAGAAATTCGGCTCGGGGTTTGGAGCATGCTCGTCCACGTCAACCCGCGCGACTCGATCGATGGCACTTGTACTACTACTATGTGATTTTAGTCCTACAAGGTCAGTCGGGTTGGCCCAAAATGACTTTATGGAAAATGCAATCTCACCGTATATTAAGCTCTGTACCGTACGGTACGGCACAGTACCGCCACTTAGATCGCTCGTCCGTCGTGGGTGTTATGGCGAACACACACTCACACACACACACACTCACACACACGGGGGCGACCACCCGCAAGGCGGCCGTATCGTAGCGGACTGGTACAGTACAGCAGGACGACGCTCGGCTCACCGCGCGGCTCGCCAATCAGGAAACGGATACTGTACCATGCCGGTCGGCTCGCCCCGCCGGTCGGCGTCGCCACTAAATCTCGGCGTCGTGACGCCTCGGCGCGCCGCAGCGCTACATGCGGGTCCTCTGTGTGTGTGTGTGTGTGTGTGTGTGTGTGTGTGTGCGCGCGCTATTCGCTCGCCCTGCTCGTACTTCATGTGTCTCCGCCAGCAATAAATAGACGCGGCGGTGGACACCTCCTTGCGGGGAAGACCCTTTCCTGCCACTCGCCACTGTGCCGGGGGTTTCGAGGCTCACCTGTGGTCCCTGAGGTGGTCCTGGCGGCGGAACGCCTTGCCGCAGATGTCGCACGAGTACGGCCGCTCGTCCGTGTGGGTGCGCTCGTGGATCAGCAGGTTGTACGACTTGGTGAAGTGCCGGTCGCAGAACTTGCAGATGAACTGCTTCTTGGGGCGCGACCCTCGGCCGCCCCCCGTGGACGTCGTGGTCGTCGTGCTCGCGGACGAGCTGACCGCTGCGGACGCGATGACGGGGAGCTTGGCGGAGGACGACACTGACGGGGGTGGAGGCGGGGTCGGCGACGAACGGCGTACGAGCGACGAGTAGGGGTTGTCGCCGGGGAAGGCGGGGAATTGACTAGTCCTTGCCCCCTCTTCGTCATCATCGTCCTCACCGAGGCCCACATCGTCCAGGTCACCGTCGTCGGCCGACCGCGGCGACAGGTCTCCCGCCGTCCGCCCGGGCCGCGCCGCCGCGGTCGAGGACGAGGGTGACGCGGCGGGCGAGGGCGGCGGCGACGAGCAGGCCGGGGCGGTGAGGGCGGACTTGACGGCGCCGAGGCTCGTCGCCGTGGCGAGCCGCAGCAGGTCGAGGCTGGGGGCGCCAGCGCCAGCTGCACCGCCGTTGGGGGCGGCGAGCCTCTGCAGCGTGAGGTACGACTCGAGGGCCTGCAGGTTGAGGGCGGCGGCCGCGGGCGAGTTGGGCGGCATGAGCGCGGCCTGCTGCAGCGAGGACACGAGCACGCTCTGCAGGGACAGGGCCAGCCCCATCCCCAGGAGCCCGCTGCCGCCCGCGCCGCCGCCGGCCCCCGACGGCGACCCGCGCGAAGACGCGTCGCTGCCGAGAGCGCTCAGAGAGGCCGCCTCCAGCATGGCGAGGTAGCGCAGGACGTCGCTGTTGTTGTTGCTGACGGTGACGCTGTTGTTGTTGGCCGAGTCTGATATCTGCTTATCAGACTGCTTCATTGCGTCGGCCCATCGGGTTGGCCAGGGTGGCGCCGAGAAGGGTCAGATCATGCTGCAACACACCCACAGGGACACATCATTAGCGTCGAGTTATACTGCAGAGGAGTGACCCGCAGAGTGCAAAGAGTCGCACAATAAACGCCTCGCCATCACCGTTACCACGCGGGTGATGCACGTTCTGCGCGCCAAAAAGCGATTTGCGTCGCAATTAAACAAGCGAGTAACGAGCTACGGGTTAGGGAGAAATACATAAAGAAAAGAACGGAGAGGAAGGTGGTTGGCGACGTAAGCGACAAATGCAAGAGACGCATGTGCATTCTCACTATTGAACATTTTATGTCAAAGAGGTCCAAAGGTTATACTTCTTCAACATTTTATTTCCAAAAAGGCACTCGGTGATCTAGATGAAATCTACAGGGACAACATCATGCTGCGGTGTGAAAATAATTGACGCCTACTTAAACAAGGCGGTTCAATTGACGCAGAATTACACGCCAGCGCCGGCACTGCAGCGGCGCCAGCCAGGGCGCTAAACGACTGGCTGTATCCCCCCTTTACACGGCCAAAAGAAAAACAAGAGCACAACCTTTCGATGCATGCAAAGCAAACCTGTTCCCCAGTTTAATTAATACGCCACCTTGCTCGTAAACGGGAGTATTTATACCGAAATGTGACACGAAGGGATCATACCATTCGTTTCAGGGTAATATTCCAAATTATTCATGGTTGCGCAGCCTCGCCTTATTATTGGAATGTTTTATTATTATAAAAACAGTCGTATAAACGGATGCCAAACGAGTTGGACGCCAAATGGAATACATGATAATACTATTACGAAGGAGCATTGGGGCTTGGGATACAGCCGCAAACAACTAAGAGAAAAACTGGGGGAAATAAATAAAAATATAACAGATAAAAAAGAATCAGGTCTCCAGGTATTCCTTACCACCCTCGGCGCAGCAGCACAGCTGCGACAGGTAACATTTGGGGTCTGACCCCCCCCCCTTCCCCTCCTGCCGCCTACCTGGGTCAATATGGGTCATAATGAAAAGATAATAAAACACAAGATGCCCGAGTTTGGTCTCCTTTAGGTCTTTTTAAAGCCAAGTCCAATAATTGAGCCAAATTCACACCTCCTCCTCCTACTTCAGAAGCGCCAAGTGTCGATGCCAGGTTTTACTGCCAGCCTGGTCCAAAGGTGTCGATTGCCGTAGGGCCCCTATTTTCCCCCGACGACGGGGAGCGAAAGGGGAAGGGAAAACGGAGAAAAAAGGAGGGGTAAGGGGGGGGGGGCGCTGGCTGTGAGGCGGGGGTGGCCGCACCTACACGGGGTCGTTGGGTCTTTACTGATAGCATCTCCCCTCCCCCGCCCCCACGGGCAGCATGATCCAGCAGTCAGTGTCCGAGCGGCGCAGAGCGGCGCACCATGGGCGGCGCTGGTGACAAATGGAGCGAGCGCCGCCGAGGTGCCCTGGAGGAAGCGAGGACCATATGGGCCCCACCTAAACGCCGTACCGTGTCGAGCGCTCTGCCGCTTTATTGTTTTAGGATCATTGCCCAATTTTCCCCTGTTTGAGCGAGACGGGCCCCGGTGCACACGTGCATTAGCTAATAAAGGTGAGGTGCGGGGCTCCAGCCTGAGTCACCTCTTAGGCAGGTATGATGAGGGAGGAGGGGGGGGGGCAAAGAGGAAGAGGGCGGTAGAAGAGGGCGGTAGAAGAGGGCGTAGAATGCTGAAGAGAGGGGGGGGGGGGGGGGGGGGGGGGGTTCTCTGACGGTTCCACTTTTCAACCGCAAAAGAGTCTAGATGCAAACACTGTGTACTTGGCGAACTGAGTTACCGGTCGGTATAGGCAAGGTGTAGCAAGATACAGAGGCAAGACAAGCCACAGAGAATGAACATGTCTATGTTGAAAACTAAACCGCCAAAAAGGGAACGGATGGAGGTAGTAAGCAAATCCGTTAAGACTCCAGTTTCAGATGATAGTGTCCATACGACAACCACAAGGCTGAGCCACAGCACGCCGCAAACCAAAGGGGTCACTGTCCGCCCAACGTTCGTCAACCTAACCCTCCCAACAAAGATGTCACACACCCTCCCCCTCCCCCC